TAACTATGATTGGGGCTGGCAGGTGGTGTGGTGGTTAAAGGCACTGGATTCCCACATGACTGACTGCAGTTTAAGTCCCAGACTGGTGGCTTGCCTTCTTACTTTCCCTCTCTCCTCTCTCTCTGCTCAAATTGAAATAATAATAATAATAATAAAGTTAAATAAAATAATTCTTTAACAAAATAAAATATAGAGCCAGCAAGTGGCATGGTGGATAAAGGTGCTGGATTCCCACATGGCTGACCATGGTTAGAGTCCCAGACCTGGTGGCTTGCTTTCTCACTATCCTTTTCTCTTTCTCTCCATCTCTGTCTAGTCAAATTAAAAAACAGTAACAAATGGAATTAAATAAAAAAATTTCTGTAAAAAAATTAAAAATAACTATGATATATAAGATACATATATTACTTACATATTTATAACTGATTTCTTGAGTAATCCCAACTGTGCGAAGTATAAACAAGAAATCACTTCATTGTCCCAATTATCGCTGTCACTCATGCCCTGTCATCTCTCCCTATCCCATTGGCTAACACATCAAATCAATTCTGTCACTTCCAATCATTAAAACTAGTCTTGATGTTTAAGAATAAAATTAATTTTTTTTTCTTTTTTTAAAAAAAACTCAGTTTGTCCCTTTCTTTCATAGATTTGATGACCCTCATTCCTTAAAAGTTCAGTGCTAAATATATGAAAAAGCGTAATGTCTCTAAAGCAATTCTTAGTTAAAACTACTCAATATGAAATATCAGTCAACAAAGAGACATAATCTTTCTGCTCGTTTTTAACAAACAAAAAAAAAAGTACAAGATTCTCTTCCAGTAGTTGATTGTTTTTCATGTATGAAAACAATCAGGCTATAACCATTATAACTACTACTAATAACTTAATAAATGGCAACAATATATGAAGAGTTGCAACATGTAATTACAATTAATCTTTACCTATTTGATTTATAATTTTGTCAGCATCAATCTAAATTAATTAAATACAACAAAATCTTGAATTATAACCAAATTACTGCTTTACAAGTTTTTCTAAAGAAAATACCTCAAAAATACCCCCACACAATCTTTTCTTTTACCCCATAGAGAGTCAAAATCTGGACAGGGAAAAATTCAAAGCCTATGATTTTTTAAAAAAACAATTTCTGCTTTTACCACCCACATGTCACTTTGAAAACAAGCTCCAGACATTGCTGGAAAAAGAAAAGCACCAACTGAATTGCATTTGTAGCTATTTCATTTCTCAGTTATGAAGCTGGATCAAAACCATTGGTGTCC